TCTCTCTCTCTCTCTCTCTCTCTCTCTCTCTCTCTCTCTCTCTCTCTCTCTCTCTCTCTCTCTCTCTCTCTCTCTCTCTCTCTCTTTCTCTCTCCGCGCGTCGTTTTGGTTTTTAGCATTTTTTTATTTTTTTGCTTTCGTTCGTTTTCTTTTTTTTTGCTATAGCTCGTTTTGCTTTTTTTCCAGTGTGTCATTCCTGGAAGCACGGAGCCCGGCCATTCAGCAACGACCCGGCTTTCCCTTGGACGACCCCCCTAAGGCTGCGGCGCGTACACGGGAAGGCCCGCAGCCAATAGCTGGGCCAGGTACTGGTGGCTTAAGAACATCGGACCTCTGGATGTACCTGGACTTAGGAGTCCAGCGTGTACCGGCACCGGATCCTTCGGAGCAAAACAATTTGTCCTCAATCCGGCCAATTTAGTCGGTTTTGATGTCGTTCGAAAAATTAGCGAAATTGTTGTTACACCGGCAAGCAAACAAAAGGGAATCAAGAGTTCAAGTAATTGAAGACCCATCCCTTTGCCTGTGTCCTCATACCGGCCCACCCATCGCTGACCGATTGTAATGGGAGACTCCCAATGGGTACCCAGTCGTTACAAGCTTCTTCGCTGCGGGAGGGTACCCAGTCATCTGTTCCCAGAGTAGAGTGCCTCCCCTGGGAGATTGAAACTGAGACAGGAGGAGGGACAACATTTCGTAGAATTGCGCAGAGATTTAGGCATGCCAGCAATCGTAGAGAATCGGGACACTACATGGCCATCCTGGTTCCTTGGAAGGTCAAGTGGTGATCTTCCACAGGAACAGAACTCAGCAGCAGTTCTTAGCCTAGCAGAGTAGTTTATGGATGTTTTGTCCTGTGTAGCATCATGTTCGCGTTCGGTGGAGAGGCGGTTAACAGAGACCCAAATTTTCAGCATTTTTTTAATGTGGCGTTCGGTGACGAACCCGAATGTTCGCGACCGAACGCGAACGAGCATGAAAACCCTCTGAACGTGAACACAAAAACATAATTAAAAAAACGTTCTCTGAAAAATCTGGAAAAGAATATATGTTATGTAGAATGAGAATACAAACAACTTTTGCCTGGGGCCCGGACCCACTAGCGAAGTATTCTACGACGTGTGACACAGTTTTATGTTTTTTTGGAAAACACAAAGTGATTTTTTATTTGCATGAATGGATCGTTTTCTGATTTAAAATGAATTGAAATACCACATTAAACTATGAAGAACAGCTGTGCACCCGAATTCATGGGTTGGTACAATCTCCTTCACGTAAGTCTTCATAGTGATGTACCGTGGCAATAAAATGTGTCCACGAACACAGCCACGAGGATGAACAAGTAATGGCTATAGGGACACATTCATCCCCATGTATCTCATGATGCCTCTAACAGGCCATCCGACAGACGCAGAAGAGTTCCTGTCAGATCCACCACGATATCTGAATTTCACATTTCAAGTTCTATTTCCCAGAGCCCCCCAAAAAAAAAAACGAAGTCTGGAAATCACCGCCCCCCGCCCTTTAGAGCCCATAAAATCCAGACTTCCCGCCCACGCAAAGCCGGGAGCTATCATGTCCAAGTTAGTCCAACTTCGTTGTTGTTTTTTTTCGACGCATCTCATTGGACGGGAGGTGGGCATCTTCACAGTACCCGCTCGGAAACTACCAGGCCGTCGAGATCCGATCTATTCGACGGCCGTACTGAATCACTCTATGCCACACATGATCGAAATCCTGAACGGCGTGGTAGAATACCTTGCCAGTGGGTCCAGGCCCCTGGGGTCTGGTCCCACCTACAGCGTTGAGTTTTCTCAACGCTGAGCTTTCTATCACGTGTGGCATGGTGGGACGGAGCTCTGCCGTTGATGTATTGCGAATCTAACGGTAYCAAAATACAGGAGAATAACCTATTAGATTTAGTCATTTTGTAGAATTTTTTTTTGACGTGAAATCCATTTTGTAGTATGTGTTGGCCCTTTTGGTTTGGGCGGGAAGCCATTTTACATTGAGAAAACTACCCTACCGAGGGTAGGGTACATTTCTCAACGGCAGTGCCTTTCCTTTTTTTTGTTTTTCTAGACCTCATTGCATCCTGAAACGGAGGAACTCTGACAGCTGTGTTTGGCTGTCTGGCATCAAACTCGTTTCCTTCTTTGGGCAATGAATGCATTTGGCCATCCACGTCGTCCCTGTCCATTTTACAAATGGTGACCTCCTGTCCGCCCACCACGGGAGTATCCCTTTTTCACGGAGACTTTCACTCCGACTGTTCCAGACATGTTTCATCTCTCCGAGTTACGTTATAAAAAATAAGGAGAAAAGCTGTTTCTAGCGTTTTTTTCAGTTTTTTTATTTCTTGTTTTGAATTTATTAATGTCGAAATGGCGTCACACCGTTGAGTTTTCTAAACTCAACAACGTTAGGTGGGTCCAGGCCCCTGGGAGGTATGTTCAAATTTGCAACCAAACTCTCGAGCTAAAAATCAAAAACCTATTAAAAAAAAAAATCATACATGCGGCGCATCACGTGCGCGCAAGTTATGCACGTGCACGCGTGCGCGCGTGATGTGCCGCATTTACAAAAAAAAAAAGTGTCCCTCCCTTTTGAAAAAAACACGGAATAAAAACAATTTGGGCCCACGTTGTACTCCTCATTGGATCTAGTCCTTTTTCCCTAAGGTCCCCAGCACAGAATTAGCAGGGATCCCATGCATTTGGAAGGACGTTCGCAGAACTGCTGGAGGGACATGGGCAGGCCAGTAATATATTCTGGATTCGGATTCAGGTCTGTGTTCGAAGAGTTTATGGGTCACAAACTTACTGCAAACACTACAGTAGCCGTCTCGTTTTTTTTCGTTTTTCCTTACATGCAGTGGCCCTAAGGCCCTAAGGGCCTCGCTCCACGCATCACAAGAGAAAAACATATGGCTTGAATGTATGGATCCAGTTTCTAGCAGAAGATTCATTCTTGTTTTGCACATTTGGTGAGTAGTGGAGTGAAGCGCTGAAAATCACATGACGAGTTAACTGCGGAAACAGGAACCTGAAATCGAAGCTACACCATATATAGCTGGCCTGCTCCGCCCTTACTACAAGTCCAGCGATTACCCTTCTCCTGCCGACGAGACCCTTGTTAATTTTTGGCAGGGGCCTTTTGAAGTACTTGCAGGGTTTTTCTGAATACCGTGAAAGGGCTCTTTTCTTCCTCCCTCTCTCTCTCTCTCTCTCTCTCTCTCTCTCTCTCTCTCTCTCTCTCTCTCTCTCTCTCTCTCTCTCTCTCTCTCTCTCTCT